CTTGCACATAGCCATGCATTTATACTTATACTAACCCTAACCCTTTCATAATGTAAATCTGCACATGCTTAGAAACTTAAAAAAACATAAATGACAAAAAGCCAGCTGATTTAACACATGATCGGTATGGGGTATGTTTTGAAATAGCACACCAAAACAAACAATTCCTCTTCCTGGTGCAGTGTCAGGAACAATTTTAAACCAATTGCAAATTATATAATGAAGACTGATTAAGACCCATATAGAGGGTAGAATATAGAGCAGGGTTTTTCAAAATCTAAGACCTCCCTTTTGACACAACTTATCCATTGGCGTCCCCTCTTTCCAAACATGCACACACACGCGCACACACACACACACACACACACACACACACACACACACACAAATTCTGGAGGTTTTCCTGCTACCTCATCATGCTTGGTTTCAAGGTGTCTGCGAAGTTTAGCGGGTCTCATGCTGTCATTAGCCAAAATATCTTGACAAACCACACATAAAGGTCGTGGTTCATCAGCTGGTCCTGTCCACGTAAATCCTAAACTCAAATACTGATCATCATATCGTCGTCTTTTGGGTTTAAGCCCTGAACTTGAAGGCTTTGAATCGGGGGGTCTCAGAAACCGATCCATTGTTAGCAGGCATATACCTGTATTGGCAGGCTTGCCAAACATAAGCGAATTCACAGCTTTGGCCTTCTGGGTAAAAAAGGTTTTCTTATTTTTTACATATTTTTTTTTTAGCTTTGTTTAATTAAAACGTTACATTTTTAAAAAAAAAACATATAATAATTAAACTTAATAATTACATTTTTATTATATAATATTTTTTTCCCGCGCCTCCCCTGACATGCTCTGGCGCCCCCCAGGGGAGGCGCGCCTCACACTTTGAAAACCCCTGATATAGAGAGTAGAGGGTAGACCATTAGAGTAGTCCAATCTGGAATAAATGCATAAACAATCTCCAAATCATTAAATGAAAGCTGGTTTCACTTGGAAGAAACTACTCTTCACCACTGCACTTACAGTGGTGGAAATAAGCATTAAACACATCATGTTTTGTTCCTGGGAATAATATTTCTAATGGAGCTGTTGACATGGAATTGAACCTGATTTTGGTAAAAACCCAAACAATACAAACATAAAAATAAAACATAAGGCTAATAGTTATGTGTAATAACAATGGGATGACACAAAGAGAAAGTACTGAACAACTGAAACATATTTAATAATAAAAGGCTTTATTGGTGATGGTAGCTAAAGATGCCACATGGAGAGTGAAGTCACATGAATTGCTCAGGTGTGCTTTTTTCAAAGACTTCAACAGAGTGTAAAAACTTCTGATGGTTCTGTGGGTTTCATCTGTCAAATTTGATCTTTAATTTCTATTTGTATTGGATTTGAGTCAGTTGATTGGCTGGGCCATTCTACAGGTTGTTTTTCTTTCTCTGAAAGCATTTGAGAGTTTCTTTGGCCGTGTTTTGGATCATTGTCTTGCTGAAATGTCCACTCTGGTTTCATCTTCATCATCCTGTTAATGTACATGTTGGACTAAAGCAGCTAATATTAATTTACAATGACGAAGACAAGAGGGTTTCTGAATACCTACTGAGAGATTTTAGCTGCTGTCTGGGCTTTTACTGCCTTTCTACTCCTCGCTTTCTTCATGTGTTCAATACCTTTTCCCTGTGCCATTTCTTGTTTTTACACATAACTTAATTTGTAAACTAATTAGTTTAGTTTTATTTGTTTGTCACCAACATCTGGTAAAGTTTTTAAGTCAACAGCACATTTAGAGATTTGTTTTCTGAGAAAAATGGTGACGTGTCCTGTGACGTCGTGTACTTATTTCCCCCATTGAAACTGTTATTTTTTAAAATTCAGATCAAAGTAAAAATTACTCCCAGTTTTTTAACTATGTAAGAACTATGGGGATTTACTATGTAATATGTTTACTGTGTAAGGTTGAGGGTGAATAATAGTAATTTCACCTTTGGTGCCAAAAAGTCTAGAAAATCCCCCTATATGCATCTCAATATGTCACACTTCCTTTTCATGCTATCTTTAAGGTCATAGTTTGCCGGTGGTGTTTGGCACCCATTAAAACTCATGGGACTACATTCATGGCCAGACTGTACATGTAATACCTATTACCATAGTCCTTAAGGAATGCTGCTTGACCTCAAATTACTTTCAGACATAAAATGCATTGTGACTGCAATACTTTCACTTCGAAATAGTCTTGCCCAGACTCAAGAGTGCTAAACGCTGGAGAGCTGAGGCTGGGTGATTGTAAAACTTAAAAAAAAGAAAACTGGCAGAGAAGGAGGACCGGTGAGTCCCAGAGCACCTGACATTGGCAAGCCCCCTCTCTCTCCAAGAAGTAGCCTACTTTAACCACAGAAGTTATTTGAAGGACGCCGGATCAGTCTGTCAGGGAAAAGGGAAAGCTCTAGTCAGAGAGGAGTCTTGGGAAAATGTCTCTGGGCTCCTGACACTCCCAGACCTCCACACCCATTTTTCTCACTTTGGAACTTAATTGGACACCACCTCCTCCTGTACCTTTGAGTAATCTTATGCTGTGTGCTGGAAGTAAATGCACTTGGCAGTGTAGGGCATTAGGACGCTTGCTTGTTTGAAGCTAACTAAGTGCAAGTGGAATTAAAAGGGCATTTTTTTTTTAGAAGCACACTTGTGGCTTGATGCTGGCAGCAAGTGGGATGATTTGCACATTTTTTCTATGCAAATGTAATCATGCATATTTTTTTTCAGAGATGATATCGAACAGCTGTGTGGATAAACAAGTATTAGGTGTCAACTGTAAATCTATTCGATAGGATTACAGAAAGAGGAATAATGGTTGAAAGTCAGGCAATAAATCAAGTCTGCTACGCGTGGCTGTGGTGCAGATAGGATCAATAGTGTAGTGAATTGTCTTTGCGTTGTAAATCCAATTCTCGTATCTCATACTTTGGAACATGTTCAAGGTTAATGTTGCTCAGTAATACATGTTATTTCAATGGTGTGAGAAAGTGTTTTGTTCCATGATGGGATTTCTGTGGATATTGCGCATTCAGCACATTGTCATACAGAAATGGTGAAAAATGATTGGGCTGATTTAATGTGAATTACAGTGAAATGCTGTGAAATTATACTACGTGAATTATGGATCTCATCAAAAGTGCCTCATTGGCTATTTAAAACATACATTTGTTTTATATATATATATATATATATATATATATATACAGTATATATATATATATATATATATATATATATATATATATATATATATATATATATATATATATATAATTTTTTTAACCAAGTTTACAAATTCTTATACTGTACAATTCAAAATAATAATAAAATTATTTACATTATTTTAGAAGCATTGTCATTTTTATATGTATTGTGCTTATCTCTTAATCTTCATTATTAGTCTTGAAAATATTTTATTTTAGAAAATAAAGTGTTTTTTTGATATGCATTTGCATTTATATTGTATTAATTTAATGTCATCAACATTTAAGCAACCCTTTTAAAATAGTCATGTTAAAAATTTGTATTAAAATAGATAACTGCAATAAAATATTTTGACACATAATATTGATTTTATAGATTAAATAATAGCAATCTAAATCAATCCATTTCTCTGGCTCAAAACTTGAAATTGTGATTGACTTCTGTTTGAACTAACTGAATCGGATTATATATAGACTCTTTTAAAACATCCACTTTATATTTTGAAATGTATTATTCATTTTGGTAAAACAGTTTAAATAAATCAAATTTATGAGGTATGCATATGCTATTTTTACTGCAGCTCGCTCTTCTGTCAAACAGAATAATATGAGAAGAAAAAGGTTTCACTTTAAAAACAGCTGAGATCATAACACCATTTGTATTGTTGCTACTTTTAGTTACTCCACATCATTAAAATTACTTTTAAATTGCTTTCAATGACAGCATGACTTCACATTCACTTTCACATCTGATCCCAATTATCATTAGCTTGTTGATTGTAAATGAGCGTGCATGTCTTTGTGTTTAGTTATTTGGTTTATTGCTTTTAATTATTGCATATATTTTATCAAATGTATTGCTGTCCTTATATACAAACATAATATATTAAATACCTTGGTTATTTTTTTTCCATAGGGAAGTTTATTTTAAACTGATAAACCTTTAAAACAGACTAGCTGTGAGCTCAGATGCTGTTAACTTTTTGGATTGTATGTACTTTTTCTTGAACTAACCATAATGGTGTACAGGAGTTTCCGGCAATAGAAAAAAAGTGCCAACGAGCAAAATGCACCAAAAGAAATCTTTAGCTCCGAGTGAGGCGAAAAAGGGAACAGAGTTCATAGGGCCCTTCCACCGAAAACTTTTGTGCAGAGGGCCCAAAATTGCTGGCTACATCCCTGTCTCAATAATTACAATAATATAATATTTGTATTAGGGCTAGGCAATATTGCAAAAAAAAAAATATCACCATATCAAGTTTCATATCATTCAATATCAATAATTATTGAATATTTTTAAACAATACATTTAGGAATATTAAGATTTTGTTTTTACTTTAACCACTTTAATTTACCAACATTACTAAGGCAAATAGATTTAATAGTCAAAAACAAAAATAACAAAACAAAATATCTCATCTCTTCATAATAAAATAAACTGAAAAAAAGAATGAAAAGTCTGTCATAACCAGAAGTTGATAATTTCACACCATAATTTCAGTATGTTGATGTACTTCCTACCAAAAAACGTATATTGAGTTGGGGTGGGGCTTTCTTTTTGTGCATCATTCCCTTATAGCAAACTAATGGTGTAGGAGTGTAAATAAGAAAATTGCCGTCAATCTGATATCAATAGAAAACTATTATTTTAAACTGATTAATTGTTCACCTAAAGAATAACAAGGTGGATTAATAAAGTAGTCTTTCTAAATTTCGATTTCACACAGACTAAATATTCTCAATCTGGTTTCTACAGGCGGACGGTTCCACCTTTCTTCAAATGGGAGCTTCTATAGATCAGCAGATAAATGCAATGTTCAAAGTGATGGAGGAGTACAACTGGGGCAACTTTGTGGTGATCACAAGCCTGTATCCCGGCTATGAGACCTTTGTGGACTACATTCGCTCATTCACGGACACAAGCTACTTCCTGTGGGAGCTGCAAGATGTGCTGAGTTTCGAGATGTCGGTGGGCGCAAATGACATCCGCACACGTCGACTTCTACAACAAGTGGACTCTCAGGTGTATCTAGTGTACTGTTCCCACGAAGAAGCACAGTATTTGTTTAGGATGGCCTCTGATGTGGGGCTTTTGGGGCCTGGATACATCTGGATCGTCCCTAGTCTGGCTGTGGGCAACCCTGAAGCGGCCCCTCCAGCCAGCTTCCCAGTGGGCGTCATCAGTATTATCACAGACCGCTGGAGGAAAACACTGCGCCAGAGGGTTCGCGAAGGAGTGGCAATCATAGTGAAAGGGGTGCACAGTTTTCACAAGCACAGAGGATTCATTCCCGAGGGTCACAGTGACTGCAGTAGTCCTGTCAAATCATATGCCAACAATTCTCTCTTCAGGTAAGGTTTTTTGCTGAATGCTGTGTTAAAGAGATCTCAATGACCCAAAAATCAACATCTGGTGTTCATTTATTCACCACAGGGCATCTAAGATCTTTTTTCTGCCATAAAACATTAAAGAAATTTTTTGTTTGATTGTTCTGCGCAAAGAATAATTGCAATTAATCACATCCAAAATAGAAGTTTGTTTTGACATAATAATTCTGTATGCGTTGTGTATAGTATTTTGTATACAAATAAACACATGCATGCGTATATTTGAGGAAATGTTTTATATTTGGATTTAAAATAAATTTGTATATGATAAAAATTAGATATACATTTAATTATATTTTTGTATAGTTTTGTTTTGATGCATTGATGTGTACTACATATACGAAATAGAAATATATAATACAAACACATACATTATGTCCAAATAAACTTTTATTTTGGATGCAATTGATGTTTTTTTAGCTAAAACAAAAATGCTTTTGCAATTTTAATTTACCCATTTATTTATTTTTCTTTAAAAAATCTTTGCTTTTAGGTGAAAATTTTTACACAAGAGAAGTAATATAAGCAAAATATACTTTAAAGTAATATACTTAAGTATGAACTAAATCTATTGTATTCATACACTTACATTATGATAAAAACTAGCAGAAAATGTATGGTAGTTTTCATTTTCATATTGATTTTTAAATACATCAAGTACACTGAAGGTATGCAGGGCTGAGCCTGGTCAGTACCTGGATGGGTGAACACATGAGCAAACTAGGTTGCTGTTGGAAGTGGTGTTATGATGCTAGTAGGGGGTGCTCAACCTGCGATCTGTGTGAGTCCTAATGCCCCAGTATAGTGAAGGAGACACTAGACTTCCAGTGGTGAGATGGATGAAATGATAAACTGAGGTCCTGACTCTATAAAAATCCCACAGCACTTCTCGTAAAGAGTGGGGGTGTAACCCTGGTGTCCTGGCCAAAATCCCTTTATCGGCCCTTACCCATCATGGCCTCCCATTCATCCCCATCCACCAAATTGGCTCTATCTCTTTATATCTGTCTTTCCGCTCCACCTGGTGTAGGGTGAGTGCACTGGCGCTGTTGTCTTGTGGCTGCCGTCACATCATCCAAGTGGATGCTGCACACTGGTGGTGGTGTGGAGAGACCCCCTCATGATTGTGAAGCGCTTTGGGTGTATAGACATACACCAGGCTATTCAATTAGCGGCCTGCAGACAGAACTTGGCCCCCAAGGCAATTTGTTCCGGCCCCCCAAATAGTGTGACCAAGAGTCAAAAATGAATTTAGTTCAGTCAAAAAACAGCCACTATAGTTATGAAGTGACGTGCGTCTGTTCAATACAGCACAAGCTGCAGTTGAAAGCTGCGCAGAGCATGAGTCACCTGAGATGAGTGGTGCGAGTAGCCGAAAACATTTGGATACTTAATCTTAAAAGCTTCTCAACGCCACGGTTCTGTTGCACAGAATGAATCTGCTGCAGTTAAACAAAGTTATGCCACCTGTGTGCTAGTTTTAAGTTCCGAGCTTATACACCAAGTTTAATATGCACGCACAGGGGATTACTATAGCAGCGGCCCATTCGCCCATATCGTGTCTTTGCCATGTGCAAGGTCGTTATTTCCAATGTGAGAATATATGCCAATACACATGCGCAAGCTGAGGGATGCGCTCGCCCCTTCCAGACGCATTGAGTAGAAAACATCTCACGTCGTAGCGGTGGGAGTTGTGCGTGGCTTTTAGTGCAATCTAAACAAAATATGTTAGATGGATTTTTACGCATTATTAAAATGATTATGTATGAACACAGATGATAACAACGTTTAATATAAAAACTTACTAATACTTATTAGATGTGATAACCGTGAAACCATGATTATTCTTCAGGCTATATATAATCGTACAACCAAAATCTATAATTGTTGCGTCCATAATTGTTATGCAGTTCAAAATATAACATATGTCTGAATGTAGAAGAAGCCTACTTAAGCAGTGCACTGCTTTTGTTCTGCTTTGAAATACAACATTTGAATGTTTGTAAAAAATTTTTTTAAAAAGGCTATTGTACAATGCACTGATAATATGTAGTTTCAAAATACAATATATTAACATCTCAATGTAGCAAAATACAACTTTTGTGTCTTAAGGAGCAAAACCTTTTATATGCTGTTGTGTCATCACTTATATTGCAAGTCATATCTCAAAGGCCCCTCATTTGGGATGATTTTCATAAACTAGCCCCCCTGATAAACTAATTGAATAGCCCTGACATACACCATAAATGTGCTATATAAATGCACATTACATTAACTTGAAGTGTTTTTAACCATTTTATTACATATTTATGGGAGTACATATTTATTAAGGAGTAATTATTCTAGTAATTTATCAGGTTTATTACAGTTAACTACAGTGATTTTATTTATTTAACTTAGTTGGCAAGAAAAATATTTAGTTTAAATAAAAACATTACTAAAACTAAATTTAATACCAAACTAAAATTTATTTAAAAAACAAATTCTAATAAAAATGCTAAAAACTAAATTACTAATTACTAAAACAACAAATTCTAAATGACATTTAAATCTATATATAAAATCAAATTTAAACTTCTAAAAAACGTAATGGATTAAACTTAAAATAACTTTTATTTAACATAACATTGAATAACAATTTAGCTCAAATTATAAAGTACTTTATATGAGTTTTTGTATGTCTGTACAAATTAATAACAAAGTATGTTTATTAAAACATAATAATTCCAAATGAACTATGAAGTCAATTTGACAGTGATATAAATGTGTTAAAACATAAATGTGTACTTAGTGTGCTTTTATTTAGTAATAGTTAAATTAGCTCATTATTGTAACTTATTGATCTGCATTAACATCATGTCCTGAAAAGAAATCATAGAAATCATAGAACTCCCTCTGGAATATCATGAGTACTCTGGCTGCCAGTTATGTTTTATGAAGCTGTCGTATATTTAGTCCTCCCTTGGCCTGCATTGCCCTATTTTTTATTTATTTATTTTATTTATTTGTCAAGCATGTTGATCACATAAATTTTAACACCAAAGCGTGGGCGGCAAACTTACAAATCCCCAAAATCCTGCCGTTTTTAATTCTCAAATCTTAGTTGGCCACAGGAGATTTCATCGTAAACAGATTCCCAGACAAAACATTGCATTCTTGCGCTTTTTCTTGCCGTCTTCGTCTTGTAATGAGACTGGGAGATTCTCCAGATTTCCTTGTTAAATCTGCCGTTCACCTGGGAGTCGCCGTCCTCATTAAATAGTGCTCCAATTGCCTCTGCGAGCTTTCTGTGATCAAGCGTTTCAGAGACACATGAGTGACTGGGTCCTCCATCCGGAATGTTCCCCGGCTTCTGCGCTGTTCAGGTGTCTGCCCATTCCTCTGCCATTAAAAAGAGCGTCTGTCAGAAGACAGTTTAGAAATCTTTAAAGATCCAGCTTTGAGGCAGGACATGGGACTTCTTTTCAAACGTGTCACTAGTTGGGCAGTATAAAAGGATTTATCAGGTGGCAAGAAAGCATACTGTCTTGGAAAAACCTTATTTCGGTAATATATATATATATATATATATATATATATATATATATATATATATATATATATATATATATATATATATATATATATACAGTTGAAGTCAGAATTATTCGCCCCCTGTTTATTTTTTCCCCAATTTCTGTTTAACAGAGAGCAGATTTTTTTTTTTTAACAAAATTCATCTAAACAGTAGTTTTAATAACTCATTTCTAATAACTGATTTATTTTATCTTTGCCATGATGACAGTAAATAATACTTGTCTAGATATTCTTCAAGACACTTCTATACAGCTTAAAATTACATTTAAAGGCTTAACTAGGTTAATTAGGTTAACTAGGCAGGTTAGGATAATTAGGCAAGTTATTGTATAACGATGGTTGATTCTGTTGACTCTCAGAAAAAAAATACATCCTAAAGGGGCTAATACTTTTGTCCTTAAGCTGGTGTTAAAAAATGTATAACTGCTTTTATTCTAGCCAAAATAAAACAAATAAGTCTTTCTTCAGAAGAAAATATTATCAGACATACTGTAAAAATGTTCTTGCTCTGTTAAATATAATTTAGGAAATATTTAAAAAAGAAGAAAAAATTCAAAGGGGGGCTAATCATTCTGACTGTATATAGTGGGCCAGTTACTTGTGAACAAATTCTGATTAAACTTTTGTTATTAAGAAATTGTTCATGGATCAGACTGATTTGTTCACGAATTTCAACTGACTCAGTGGTCAAATCTCTATAATAAAGGGAAGATTACTGATGAATAATATTACATTTGTAGTATGAAGTATGGCTTTAGATGTCTTGAATTTAAATAGTATACCTGTATTGATTTTTGAAAATGTTTATGTAATGTTGGATCATTACAGACTTAATAAATCTTAAACTTTGTTAAAACTTATTTTACAGTTTTCCTGCTACACACTAAATGTACTCACTGGGAGTGTAACCAAACTCCATTACTGGCAGTTCTATACATTGAATGGACACCATAAAACCGTGTTTTTCTACAGACATGCATTCATCAGATTTAAATCAAAGTGAGGCTGGGGAAAAAAAAGTGTAACATTTTCTTTATTTTATAGTTAGTGAATTTCTCTAACCTCACTGACTTTTAAATACAGGCTCATTATTAAAAAGCACCCCGTGTACATTTCTGGAGAGCGTGAATTAAGTAGCCAGTGTTATGCTGCATTTTGTCTTTAAAACGAATGTTACAGGGTGGTATAACACTGTTTCATTTTACACTACCAGCTGACCGCTTACCTCCATGTGGACAGCTTTTCTGCTGTTACTAGTTTGCCCTGTAGCTTGTCGCGTACATGGCAGACCTGAGATGCAATGTGAGGTTTTCCAAATAGACGGGGTTTGAGTCCAGTGAAGAACGTTTCCAGAAAGCAAGTAAAACAAAAAATAAAAAATAAAATGAACAAATAAATAATAGGGTGAGAATGTGGTAAGATATGAACACGTTAAAAATTGTGAGGGCTTTTCTTTTTCTATATTGCTTTTAAAAACTCTGTCGATTGGGTTTAGGGAAGAGGGTGATCGGGTCAATCGATGATTTGAAAACACTATAGGTTGGGTTTAGGGAAGGGTTAGTTGGGTTGATCTGTCAGTCAGTCGACAGTGGCTTCTGGTGGATTTACGCAAGAACAGCATGCGCGAATGGCACTCGCAAGAGAAATTTGAGATCTAAAATTTGAGATCACAGCAGCCTCTTGTTGATTTGCAAAAGCAAAAACTGCAGAAAAAGTAAACACTCCTGGGATGTATTTCGTGCTGTTTAGAAATGTATACCGCAGGGGTAGGTATCAATAATGAGCCTGGGTTGGATTTAAAGGGTTAGTTTGCACAAAAATTAGAATTCTGTTATTAATTACTAACCCTTATGTTGTTCTGATCCCCTGAAACTTTTGTTTATCTTCGGAACACAAATTAAGATATTTTCGATGAAATCTAAGAGCTCTCTCATCCTTCAAAGACAGCAACGGTCCAGAGACGTTCAGAATTCAGAAAAAAACATTATATTTTCAAAACATTCCTTGTTACTTCAGTGGTTCAACTATAATCATATGAAGATCCAAGAACACTTTTGTGCAACAAAAAGGCTGAAAATGACTTTGGTCACGCATGTTTCCTCATCAGTGTTTCAGGGTATATGTTTACTATGGGCATTGCAATGCTTGTGTGTTGTATTGCTGACTCTAATGACAAATGCATTGTATTGTCTAAAGTAATCAAACACCCTGACCTTATGCAGGAGAGAAGATATAGTTGAACAAAGTCATATTTACAGGTTCTTTGGCACACAAAATTATTGTTGGTTTGTCATGTGATTACAGTTGAACCACTGAAGATAGATTAAATGTTTTCAATAATATTTTGGGTTTTTTTCTGGACCATTGCTTTCTATGGAGGATGTTCTCAGATTTATTCTATAGAACATCTTGGAATGACATGAGAGTGAGTAATTAATAACAGAATTTTAGTCACTGGGTGATGTGATCCTTTATTAGTTCATTATTGTTCGCAATTGAGCAATAAATCTAGTAGATAAGGTGGATATAGAGTGGTGTATTTGTGAACTCCTGTGAAGTTTTTTATTTTTGTCTGTTAGTTGTTAGTCATGGCATGACTTTATTCATTATGAATTATCAATGATGTCTGTATAATGCACTTTGCATCAGCAAAATCGAATGACTAAGTTAAATCCTGCCTCATGTTCTGCTCCACCCGCGGCTGCTCCAATAAGTGAACAATTCGTTTAACAAAAATGTTCAGGTCTACGAGACAAAGAGGATTAAATAGAGAGAGAATGAATACTGTAAATGTATTAGTGTCTGCACGCTCTGATTTATATTCATTCGACTCAGTGGGAAAAAAAATGATTGGCTTGTATTTTTGTCCTCCTTTCTCTGCTGTCTTCTGTCTCATTTCAGAGATGGATCAAATCCAGGCAATTGTGCAAATGCTTAACATTCAAATCAACTTCTTTATTTTCCGGTTTACTCGCTTAAAGCTGTTAATTTGATCTACAGGCATATGCTGAATGTGTCATGGGAGCATAAGGATCTGTCCTTCAACTCCGATGGCTATCTCACTAATCCTTCCATGGTGATCATTGCTCTGGATCGAGAGAACCACTGGGACAAGGTAAGTTTTATTAGTAGAAGTAACAATAGCAACAGTAACTAGATAGTAAAGTTTGAGGACAAACTTTATGGTGGCTTGAAAAGCCAAATCTGAAAGTTTGAAGTGGTTTTAAAGTGTAAATAGCATGTTAGTATGATTTTAGCTTGAGTTAACATATTACTAGCATGAATTAGCATGTTAGTAGCATAATTCTTACATGAATTAGCATGTTGTTAGCATGATTCTAGCATGAATTAGCAAGTTACTAGCATGATTCTAGCATGAATTAGCATGTTGTTAGCGTGATTCTAGCATGAATTAGCATGTTACTAGCATGGTTCTAGCATGAATTAGCATGCTACTAGGATAATTCTAGCATGAATTAGCATGTTAGTAGCATGATTCTTACATGCATTAGCATGTTGTTAGCATGATTCTAGCATGAATTAGCATGTTACTAGCATGATTCTAGCATGAATTAGCATGTTGTTAGCATAAATCTAGCATAAATTAGCATGTTACTAGCATGATTCTAGCACGAATTAGCATGTTAGCATAAATCTAGCATAAATTAGCATGTTACTAGCATGATTCTAGCATGAATTAGCATGTTGTTAGCATGATTCTAGCATGAATTAGCATTTTACTAGGCGGTTGCTAAGGTGTTTTAAGTGGTTGCTAGGTGGTTGCTAAGGTGGCGCAAGGCAGTTGCTAAGGTGGTCTGACTAGTTGCTAGGTGGTTGCTAGGGTGTTGCTAGACGGTTGCTAGGGTGTTTTGAGTGGTTGCTAGGTGGTTGCTAAGGTGGTGCTAGGCAGTTGCTAAGGTGTTCTGACTAGTTGCTAAGTGGTTACTAAGGTGTTGCAAGGTGGTCGCTAGGGTATTCTGAGTGGTTGCTAGGTGGTTGCTAAGGTGTTGCTAGGCGGTTGCTAGGGTGTTCTGAGTGGTTGCTAAGGTGTTGCTAGGTGGTTGCTAAGGTGTCCTAAGTGGTTGCTAGGTGGTTGCTAGGGTATTCTGAGTGGTTGCTAAGGCGTTGCTAGGTGGTTGCTAGGGTGTCCTGAGTGGTTGCTAGGTAGTTGCTAAGGTGTTGCTAGGTGGCTGCTAGGGTGTCCTGAGTGGTTGCTAGGTGGTTGCTAAGGTGTTGCTAGGCGGTTGCTAGGGTGTTCTGAGTGGTTGCTAGGTGGTTGCTAAGGTGTCCTAAGTGGTTGCTAAGGTGTTGCTAGGCGGTTGCTAGGGTGTCGTAAGTGGTTGCTAGGTGGTTGCTAAGGTGTTGCTAGGCAGTTGCTAGGGTGTTCCGAGTGGTTGCTAGGTGGTTGCTAGGGTGTTGCTAGGTGGTTGCTAAGGTGTCCTAAGTGGTTGCTAGATGGTTGCTAGGGTGTTCTGAGTGGTTGCTAAGGTGTTGCTAGGTGGTTGCTAGGGTGTCCTGAGTGGTTGCTAGGTGGTTGCTAAGGTGTTGCTAGGCGGTTGCTAGGGTATTCTGAGTGGTTGCTAAGGCGTTGCTAGGCGGTTGCTAGGGTGTCCTGAATGGTCGCTAGGCCCTTACTAAGGCATTACGAGGCCGTTGCTAGGTGGTTGCTAGGCAGTTGCTAGGGTAATTTGGGTGGTTGCTAGGCAGTTGCTAGGGTACCCTGGTTGGTTACTAGGCAAGCCTCACATACATGCTTGATAGAACATTTATACTTAGTAAGCATTTCTAGCAAGTTACAGTACTTGGCTAGTCAATATTAGCATGTAGCTAGTCACTGCTAGCATGTGTAGCATATAGGAAGTTCCGTTTGCTAGCTGTAGCTGTTGATGAATGGTTGCTAGGGTACTCTGTTTTGTTGCTATGGGCGAGGTTACAGAGTGAACTTGAATGTGGTTGGTTGTCTTAGTCAAATGAAACAACCCCCATGTCTCTATGACACTGCTATGCAAAGATACGCATCTTGGCCTATTTTAATGGAAGTCTATGGAATCAATTTGGGGGCGTGGCTTGTGAGCTTTATTATCATATTGAGATGCTCATTGGTTGTCTGAGTCAGATGAGCCATCCCCCAAGTCAATAGGACACTGCTATGCAAAGATATGCATGTAGGCCAGTTATTAACATGAGTCTAGTATGAATTAGCATGTTACTAGCATGATTCTAGTACAAATTAGCATGTCATTAGCATGTTTCCAGTATGAGTTAGCATGTCATTAGCATGATTAGCATATGAGTAGCATGTTGCTAGCATGATTGGCATGTCATTAGCATGTTAGAATTATAAGCATTTGATAGGACAGCTAATTACATTCTATAGGACAGTTGCTAGGGTGCAGTATGTGGTAGTTAGGGGTGTGGCTAGAAAGTTAAAAGGCCATCAGTGATTGGCTGCTGGCTAGACTGAGTTAAATGAGCTCAGCCATTAGTCTCTATGACAGTCTGATGCAGAGTTATGAGCTCACAAAGTTTGATCCCATGTTAAGTCAATGAGAGTCTTTTGAATGGAAGTCTACGGGACAGTTGCTAGGGTGCCATAAGTGGTTGCTAGGGAGTGGCTAGTAAGTCTAAAGGTCATCAGTGATTGGCTGCTGACAAGACTGAGTTGAATGAGGCCTGACTCTAGTCTGTAGGACAGTCTGATGCAGAGTTATGAGCTCACAAAGGTTGACTCAATGTTAAGTCAATGGCAGTCTTTTACAATGGAAGTCTATGGGACAGTTGCTAGGGTGCCAAAAGTGGTTGCTAGGGAGTGGCTAGTAAGTTTAAAGGTCATCAGTTATTGGCTGCTGGCTAGACTGAGTTAAATGAGCCCAGTTAGAAGTCTGTAGGAACGTCTGATGCAGAGTTATGAGGTCACAAAGTTTGACCCAATGTTAAGTCAATGGGAATTTTGGGAATTTTCCGGGTCGTTTTTCGGAAAACCGAAAGTCGGATCAGTCGGAAAAGATATAGCAACCCGAGTCAGACCAGTTTGAAGGTTTGACGAAAGTTTGAGGTATGAAGCTTGAAAGGGTTAGGAGGAGATAGACTTTAAAATTAGTCTCAGAAGAAAGAAGAAGAAGAAGAAGAAGCAGAACTAGATTCTTAAAGTTTGAGAACAAACTTTGAGGCTGGCTTGTGAAAGCCTGACGGTAATAGTTTATTTAAACAGTTTTAAAAAGTATGAAAAGATAGATAGATAGATAGATGAATTAGCATGTTACTAGCATGATTCTAGCATGAATTAGCATGTTACTAGCATGATTCTAGCATGAATTAGCATGTATCTTGCATGATTTTAACATGAATTAGCATTTGACTAGCATGATTCTAGCATGAATTAACACAATTCTAGCATAATTTAGTATGTTGTTAGCATGATTCTAGCATGAATTAGCATGTTCTTAGCATGATTCTAGCATGATATAGCATGTTACTAGCATGATTCTAGCATGAATTAGCATGTTACTAGCATGATTCTAGCATGAATTAGCATGTTGTTAGCATGCTTCTAGCATGAATTACCATGTTGCCAGCATGATTCTAGCATGAATTAGCATGTTGTTAGCATGATTCTAACAAGAATTAGAATGTTACTAGCATGATTCTAGCATGAATTAGCATGTACCTAGCATGATTTTAACATGAGATAGCATGTTACTAGCATGATTTTAGCATGAATTAACACGATTCTAGCATGAATTAGCATGTTGTTAGCATGATTCTAGCATGAATTAGCATGTTCTTAGCATGATTCTAGCATGATATAGCATGTTACTAGCATGATTCTAGCATGAATTAGCATGTTACTAGCATGATTCTAGCATGAATTAGCATGTTCTTAGCATGATTTAGCATGTTACTAGCCTGATTCTAGCATGAATTAGCATGTTGTTAGCATGATTCTAACAAGAATTAGCATGTTACTAGCATGATTCTAGCATGAATTAGCATGTTGTTAGCATGATTCTAGCATGAATTAGCATTTGACTAGCATGATTCTAGCATGAATTAGCATGTGACTAGCATGATTCTAGCATGAATTAGCATGTTGTTAGCATGATTCTAACATAAATTATTATGTTACTAGCATGAATTAGCATGTTGTTAGCATGATTCTAGTATGAATTAGCATGTGACTAGTATGATTCTAGCATAAATTAGCATGTGACTAGCATGATTCTAGCTTGAATTAGCATGTAACTAGCATGATTCTAGCATGATATAGCATGTTACTAGCATGATTCTAGCATGATATAGCATGTTGTTAGCATGATTCTAGCATGAATTAGCATGTTCTTAGCATGATTCTAGCATGATATAGCATGTTACTAGCATGATTCTAGCATGAATTAGCATGTTACTAGCATGATTCTAGCATGAATTAGCATGTTCTTAGCATGAATTAGCATGTTAGTAGCCTGATTCTAGCATGAATTAGCATGTTGTTAGCATGATTCTAACAAGAATTAGCATGTTACTAGCATGATTCTAGCATGAATTAGCATGTTGTTAGCATGATTCTAGCATGAATTAGCATTTGACTAGCATGATTCTAGCATGAATTAGCATGTGACTAGCATGATTCTAGCATGAATTAGCATGTTGTTAGCATGATTCTAACATGAATTAGCATGTTACTAGCATGAATTAGCATGTTGTTAGCATGATTCTAGTATGAATTAGCATGTGACTAGCATGATTCTAGCATAAATTAGCATGTGACTAGCATGATTCTAGCTTGAATTAGCATGTAACTAGCATGATTCTAGCATGAATTAGCATGTTCTTAGCATGATGGATAGATAGACAGACAGACAGACAGATAGATAGATAGATAGATAGATAGATAGATAGATAGATAGATAGATAGATAGATAGATAGATAGATAGATAGATAGATAGATAGATAGATAGATAGAGGTAGGTAGATAGATAGATAGATAGATAGATAGATAGATAGATAGATAGATAGATAGATAGATAGATGTAGATAGATAGATAGATAGATAGATAGATAGATAGATAGATAGATAGATAGATAGATGTAGATAGATAGATAGATAGATAGATGTA